CATAATTCCTACTGTATTCCCAAGAAAGAACATAATACCTGCTTGCCCACCTGTGATGATGTTAACATTAGTAAGTCCATGCTGAGACATTTAAGTGCACATAGAAATACCTGCGTCAACACTGAAATGTGCATGAAAAATAAAATGGACAGAGGGATAAAACATGGATGAAATATGTGATAAATCAAATGTGATAAATATAAATACTAATGGTAACATCTAGGTAGATAGTGGTAATCACATAGATAATTCTTTCAATAATAAAGTATTCCCCCATTAATATCCATTAACAAATGTTTAAGAAGAATAAAACAGCCAGGCACTGATGGCTCACACTATAATCCAAGCAATTCCAGAGGCAGAGAACAGGAGGATCACAAGTTGGAAGCCAGCCTGATCAAATAGGTTGTAAGACCCTACCTCAAAAATACCCAACACAAGGGCTGAAAGAGTGGCTCAAGTGCAGAACACCTGCCTGAGTTCAATTCGCAGTACCACCAAAAAAAAAAGTATAATAAATTATAAAGATTCTTTCAACATTTGAACATGTTCATAATAATATGTTGCTTTGGTTGTCTGAATGATACCTTCACTAGGAAAGTGCCCCAATGACAGTCCATCTAACTGTTTTGCCAGATATTGATGATTATTATGTAGATCCATTGCTTCATTAGTTTGCAAAATGTAATGTTCTAGTTCTCTTTTGAATTTTTTTTTTTTGCCTGTGACTCTCCTATAAAGAAAAATTTTCTTCATTTGAACTATTCAGTTTATACTGAAGTTAGTTACTATAGGAAAGGCAAGACAAATGCTTTGTCTTTCTCCTGATTTATCAATTTATGGAATAAGAACAGATACCCTAACAATTTCTGACAATGTCCTATGAGGTTTTCTCACAAATATGTTTTATATCACTGATGTGTTTTAACCCAAGGTTGGCATTACTCTCTTTAATTCTGCAATTGTTTTGTCTATTGCAATGGGAGCTCCTTCAAGTTGGCTCCTGAATGCTACTGTCTCATCCCCATTAATTTCAGATTGCTTCCTTGCATTTGGTACAACAAAGCTGCCTTTGTATCATGTATAAACTACTACTCCAGACCTTCATTTCAAAAACCTTTGAGTTCTTTTAAAAGAAAATAGTATTTACAAACTCCAATGTGCACTAAGGACATTTATTGCTACTGGATTGTCATTGCTTGTTGGTATTGACAGTGGACAACACTAGGAAATACCTGTTCTTTAAAAAGAAATACTGGGCTGCTGAAGTGGCTCAAGTGATAGACTTGCCTGCCTAACAAGCATGAGGTCCTGAGTTGAAACCCAGTACAAAAAAAAAAAAAAAAAAATCATGAGTTCACATTAAGATTTCTAATTAAAATTCAATGTTAGAAGGTTTTTATTCTAGTTATTTGATTTTATAACTTTCTAATGCTAAAAATTGATTCATAGTGATATCAACTAAATTTCTTACAACTTCTTTATTCATATGTGTGTTTTTCAAATATTACACTAGCTGTAAGATTACTAAATGCAACTTAGTATTTCCTTGTGGTTCTTTTTGTTCTGATACATTTAACATCAGCTAAAGGATAATTTAATAGGACAAAATAATTTTTGTGCCAGGCTAACGCCATTGTTCCTTAATAGGAGTGAAGGGAGATAAGTGCAAAAGCTCAAGTCAATCAGTTGCTAAACCATTTCCCTTCCACCTAGCATCCTGAGACAAAAACATAAGGCTAGATGAAAAAGCCTTCAGGGAACGGATATAAATACAGGAGAAACAAATCACCCTACCAAGCAACAAGGGGTCAGTGAACTGAAGGAATAAGAGGCCACGAAAAAATCATGAACATAATTCTCATTAAACAGGCAGATAAGTCAGAGCTGACAGGCAGCTGCAAATGCTCTCAGCAGGAGCTACAGCAAATGCTGCTTAGCAACACCCAAAGGCAGATGACAATGAGGACCATACAAAGAGCTGGAGAACCAGATTTAAGCATGACAATCAGACCATCTATACACTGACTATTCACAAGCCAGCAACAGCTAGTTCTAGTAAAGTGGTAAAATAAGGTGACTGTATTGCCTAGGCTTATCACTTTTACTTCCTATTGGTTAAAAGGTGTTAAAAATAATGCCTGAGGCAATAAAATTCAGGTATTGATTGCATAGGTATACTATCCTAAAAGCATTTTTTTAAAACATCTGCAAAACTACAAGGATACTGTGGAGATAGGCTGTTAAGTTAGAGGACCTATAAAGTCAAAGTGAGGACTGAGGTGTGGCTAAGTAATAGTGTGCCTGCCTAGCGAGAGTTCAAACCTAGTAGCAGGGGGGGAAAAAAATCAAAGTGATCTTTTAGCATTTCTTTTCAAATTGTGTTTCTATCATTCTTAACATTAATACACATGGAGTTTTATTTATTTTATTTTATTTTATTTTACTTATTTATTTATTTTTCAGCAAGGTTTGCACTCAGGGCCTGAACACAGACAAAGCTTTAAAACACAAAGATGCCCAGGTTCTCATGAAGATATGCTAAATCAAAAATCTCTAAAAGGGAGCTAGGTATCAATATTTCAAAAAAGACCCCAGAAAATCAAAATTGAAAACCACTGTGACATAACATATAAATAAAAAACAGTTCTCAAAGTTTTAGGTGCATGAGAGTCACCTCAGGAATTTCTTAAACATGTGGATTCCCAGGACTATGAAAGTTTCAGAATCAGTAGGTGGCTCATGCCTGTCATCCTAGTTACTCAGGAGGCTGAGACCTCCGAGGTTCTCTCCTGAGGATGGTGGTTCCAGGCAAAAAGTAAGAATCTAGCTCAAAAATACTAAACAACAAAAAAAGGGTTGGTGAAACGGCTCAAGTGGTAGAGCACCTGCTTAGCAACTGTGAAGCCCTGAGTTCAAACTCCTCCAGTACTGTGTCCCCAAAAAAGTTTCAGAAACAGTTGGCCTAGTGTGGACTTACTAATTATCATGTTTAACCAGAATTCCAGGAACCACTAGTGGATATGTCATCGAATACACTCTGAGCAACATTTGGGAGGGAATGTAAAAGAAACCAAAAGAGACAAATAACAGAGGGCTGGATTCAGGCTGTGGCAACCACTGACCTGGGTGATGTTTGTGAAAATCTGCTCAGACATTCTCTCGCACAGAACAGCCAGCAACTGCAAGACCAGCAGCTTTTGCTCTTGGCCTTCCACAAGAAGAGCTTGGTGTTGCTCTAATTCCAAGAGGCTTGTGCTGGAGAAGGGCTTAGGTTTTAAGTCTGCTTCATTTTCCACAGCCAGATGAATCAACTCCTGGAAGCATGGGGGGGGAAAAAGTCAGTAGAACTAAGGGCTTCGAAAACATATCTAGCAAACTCTGTTCAAAAAAAAACATGTAAGAAAACAGTCTTTGTTTGCAGCATTATTTATAATAGCCAAAAAACTGGCCAGGTGTGGTGGTGCACACCTATAATCCCAGCACTTGGGAGGCAGGAGGATTGAGTTCCAGGCCAGTTTGGGCTACATAACAAGACCTGTCTTAAAAAACCAAAAACACAAAACAAAAAGGCAAAAAATCAGAGATAACCTATATGCACAGTAATAAGGGAATAAAAAGTGATGTATTTATTGTATCACAGGAGTTAAAATAAATGAACTGGATCTATTTGGATATTAAAACGGATAAGGATTGCATGCATGGCTCAAGCAGTAGTGTCTATCTAGCAAGTACAAGTCCCTGTGTTCAAACCCCAGTACTGAAAAACATAAAATAAAATAAAATAAAAAAACATAAATTTTTGGGGGGGGATAGAATATCTTTCTTTTTTTTTTAATTTTTATTTTATTCATATGTGCATACAATGTTTGGGTTATTTCTCCACCCTTCCTCCACCCCCACCCTTACCCCCCCACTCCCTCCCTCATCCCCCTTATCTTCTAATTTAAAACAAAAAATTTTTTTTAAAACCCCACCATATATCTCAAAGACACTGTTAAATGAAAGATGTAAGTTGGAGAATAGTGTGTAACGTAATGATACCATGTAGATAAACTTTTAAGATTTCATAATAATAAAAAGCATACTTATAAGGAACAGGTTTGACAGACTTCTTAGTTTATCAGTATTTTCATGATCTTTATTGCTAGCCTTCCTTGATTAAGCACTCAAGCCACATAACTTTGCCAGTCCTTTTAGAGTCCATTAGATGCCTTCTTTTAAGATATTTGGAACTAAACTGGGTGCCAGTGGCTCATGCCTGTAATCCTAGCAATCTGAGAGCCTGAGATTGGGAGGATCATGGTTGGAAACCAGCCCAAGCAAATAGTTCATGAGACCTTCAACTCCAAATAAACAGAGCAAAACAGACTGGAGGGGAGCAAGCTGTAAAGCACCTGGTTTGTAAGCATGAAGCCCTGATTTTAAACCCTATCCCACCAAAAAAAAAAAAAAAAAAAAAAAAAAAAAAAAGATATTTGGAAGTAAACTACTAAATAATCGCTTATTTTGTAAGCTTTCACCTATCCCCTACTTTGTAAATTTTCTTGGGAAGGAAAAACCTTAAATTCCCTAACAATTAGTGTTTTACCACAGTAATTGACAGCTTAGAGCAGTGGTGCTCAGCTTAATTTTCCTCCCCAGGGGACATTTTGCAATGTCTGCAGGACATTTTTGGTTGTCATAATTGGGGGGTAACAGAGGCACTTACTTAGTGGTAGAGGTCAGGGATACTGCTAATATCCTATAATGAACAAGACAACCCCACAAAAAAATTTATCTGTGACAAAATGCAATCATGCAAGGTGGAGTTACCCTGGTTTAGAGTAAAGCTTTTTGATTTTTTTTTTTTTTTTTTGACATAGGGTCTTGCTATGTAGCTTACACTGGCTTGGAACTCTATAACCTAGACTAGCTTTGAATTCAAGTTCCTCCTGCCTCCATCCCCAGAGTGCTAGGATTACAGAGTGCTGGGTATGCACCACATGCCTGACTGATATGTCTTTTTTTAAACTATTTTTTTTAAAGCAATATAAATAAGGACATATCTCCTTAAAATGTACTCAGAATGAGTGGCTAGGCTTTGGGATGGAAGTGAACATGGGAGGTAGAAAGCAATTAAAAAAAAAGTGTTGCCTACTTGAAATTCTAGAAATGTTAGCCTTAATTCCCTCCTTGAATTCTCACCTACCCACCCAACCTAAATTCCACAGACATTCTCTTCAGTTAGACACTGTCATCAGGGGAAAAAGTAGAGAAGGCAGAGCTTGAGGTCACCAGCTGATGCTATCAGATGGTCATAAGATGATGGGCAAGTGACTACTGGAGATCAGTGGGAAAAAACACAACCACTGAACAAAGAAACAAACCTGGAAAGGCTTCAAGTGGCTATGGAGTGAAGGAGGGAGGCAGAATTGCCAAATCTCCTTCCAAATACCTGACAGAACAACAGTCAGAAGGATAAGGGATTATGCTATAACTGTAAAACCTGCTATTAACTTCAAGAGTTCTTACTGTAAATACAGAGCAAAGATTAACCCTTTCATAGATGGGTAATTCTATTTTGTTTATCTCTAACATTTCAGATTACCTTGGAAAGTAGTTAGATCCCATCAGTACCACTGCAGGTAAATTTCTTCTTTTTATTGACCCAAAAACTTCCAAAAAAATTAATTACCCTTATGTCCTTTGCTCATTTTCCCCTAATTGGGACTTCGATTTTAGAACCTGGAATCATGAATACCTTGAAAATTGAAATGTCAAGGAACTACCTAAGATAAAGCTGACCAAGATCTGTATTGAGTTCTTCCTTCAAACAAAAGATGAAGAAGTCTCCTGCCAACCACACTCCTGGCAATGGGATAGCAGGTCTCCAAGATGCTCCACTTGACTCTGTTCCAAGGACACCTTCTGGTACAGGGCTTCATCCTCATCCTCAACACTGCAACACAGGATAAGATTTATCTTGGCAGTGTCACCCAGAGATAATGTTTTTGAAACCCTGTAGTAACAGTCTAAAGTAACATGCTATCTCAATAGTTAATCATTAGAGAGACTGCAAAAATTTTGTTTAACCTATTTTCTTATTTCTCCATGCTGAAGAACTTAAAGTATTTTTCTCAGAAACTTAGCTGTTAGGTCCTGCATGGTCATTTGCTCAAACAGGAAAAGAGTCATAAAGGAAAGTGGCTTTTAAAATGGCTGTTGAAGAATTACTATTATTTCATAAATTACAAAAAAGCAAGAAGAAATCAAAGTTGTATTTAAATATTCTGGTTCCTGAGGAAGAACAGAGATAGCGAAGGCTGCAAATAACATCCAAAGGAATTTTGAGCTGGGTGCCAGTGGTTCACATCTTTGATCCTAGCTACTTGGGAGGCTGATACCAGGAGGATTTCAATATAACTGGGCAAATAGTTTGAGAGCCCATCTCCAAAATAACAAGAGCAAAATGGGTTAGAGGTGTGGCTCAAGCAATAGAGAGCTTGCTTTGCAATGCAAAACTCTAAGTTCAAACCCCAGTTCCACCTAAAAAACAAAAAGGAATTTTGATGGTTTTCTGATGAGCCACTAAAGAGTTATGGATAGTGGAAAAGACACAATCATTATGGGAAGAGATGCAATCAGTCTCATCACATATGAACTGATTAGTTGAGAGAAGGAAATATATGAAAGTTAGCCAGGTATAGTAGTATATAGCTATAATCCAGCACTTGGGAGATGAACCAGAGTTCAAGGTCAACCTGAGATACATAAGGAGATCCTGTTGGTCCAAGGCAGCCTCAGCAAAAAGTGAGACCCTGACCAGAGCAAAAAGGGCTGGTGGATGGCTCAAGCAGTAGAATTCCTGCCTAACGAGTATGAAGCTCTGTGTTCAAACCCAGTACCACCAAAAAGAAAAGAAAAGAGAGAGAGAGAGAGAGAGAGAGAGATTCACTTTAAAAAAAAAAAAACTAAATAATGTAAACAGTACAGAACAGTGGAGAGAAGTTTTTTCCCCTCTTTATGTGTTTTTGTATTATACAAAAAATGTGTTATTTTTGTGATCAAACAATGAGCATATCTTTTTTCAAACTAACCAGAAAAAATGACAGATGCTCTTCATTTTCCCTGAGAAGTACAATTACTAAAGTTAATTTGGCAGACCATCTCCTTGGGCAGGTTGTCCCTACTTGCCAGTTCACGAGTAAGATTGGCCTTCATACTCTACTAGCAGAATGAATAACTACACATTTATCTTGGGATTATTACTGTATTATTCCAGAACTTTCAGAGTCTTTCTCTACCACATTTATGCTAGAAGAAAAGCTGAAATGGATAAACATCACTTCTCAGCTTCTATGAACCATCGAAAAAAAAAAACCTTATTATTGAGGCTGGAGGGTGTGGCTAAGTGGTAAAGAGCCTGCAAAAAGAAGTATTATGTTCAAATATTCTTAAGAAGATATGACAATTGGCTTAAGAAGCACTATTTTATTCACTCTTAAAATTTCATCAATGAAGAACCAATTTAAGATAACTGATTTAGTTACAGTTCCAGAAAAGTAAAAATTCTGGATCCAAAGAATGTGAATCTAAGCTGCCCATATAGTTTCTTTTAAATAAACTTCTCACTGATAACTTCTGCCAGTGTGAATAGCAGACTAAATTTGTGGTAATATGGACCAAGGTTCCTGACCCTGTCCTTGGGAAACTAGCATCACATCCTGAGCAGGACCTTGAGAGCAAGTAAAAATCTCAATCTCAATCTCTCTCTCTCTCTTCTCTGGTATAATGGTTGTCAACATTTTGCAAATGCAGACTTTTAAGTATCTAAAGAAAGCTCTGGATCCTATTTTCAGAAAAAAAAAAAACTTGTTTTTTGTGTATAACTTCAAGAGGATTATAGGCCCCTAGAAACCAATGCAGAGACCCCAGGTTTAGGAGCTTTTACTTCTGGCAGTGGATGGACAGTCATTCAATCACTGCCCATGAATGTTTTTTTTCCTACTATGAAGAGAAACTATAATTTAAATAAGAACTGTGGGTTTTGACATATGTGCACTTAAGAATACTAAACACAAGTTAAGAAGGAGTAAGTTACAACTGCTAAGCTAAATACTGTAAAATTCTCTATACCATCACTAATCTGGTCCCAGGTCAAAATAGTTTCAAAGTGTTTTTTAAATAACATGACAATAACTTGAAACTCTTTCAGTTTATGGGCAAAAATTGTAACCACAAGTCTACTAATGTTCAACAACTCTCAGTAAATTAGAAGCTTTAGTTTGTTCTGATAATTCTGTTTGAGATCTATGTGTTTTTCTTTTCCTTAATATTGAGAGTATGTTTTTAAAGCATTACCAAATTATCATGAATATAAAATTAAGTTCAAACACTTCAACAAACAGCAGCACTCGCATGTGACGTGCAATCCAATAGAATAGCTAGGCTTAGCTAAATACTACATGGTGCCGAGTGCTGGTGGCTCACACCTGTAATCATAGCTACTCATGAGGCAAGAGATCAGGAGGATTGTGGTTCGAAGCCAGTTTGAAGCCAGCCTGAGGGAACAGTTTGAGAGACCCTGTCTCTATCTTGAAAAAACCCTTCACAGAAGGGCTGGTGGAGTAGCTCAAGGTGTAGACCCTGAGTTCAAACCCCAGAACTGCAAAAAAAAAAATACTGTACGGTTTATGACCAACAGGAACTTGAATTCTAAGGTACTAATATACTCCATAGGTCATCTAGAAAAGTGAAAATAAAATATAAGGATTTTACATACAGTGTATAAAATATATTTTTAGATGTTATTCAAAGGAATTTTAAAATTTAAAATATATACTTGTGGGGCTGGGGTGTAGCCCAATGGTAAAGCATTTGCCTAGCATGTATGAGGCCCTGGGTTCATTCCCCAGCACCACAGAAAATAAAATTAAGTAAAATATTTGTGAGATGATGAGAAATAAATTATCCATTCTACTAATATTTACTAAGTTCTTCCTAACCAATTCCTCTGAGAAACAAACCTCTATCATAAAGTTACCATAAAAATAGCTGTCAGAAAATTTCCCTTAAGAACTGCCTGCTTGTGAACACACACACACACCATTTTGGAAGTCAGAAATAGAACTGGATTATTCTGGTGTTAAGGGTGAGCATGTGCTGCCCTTTACTCTGACTCACTGGCAAAGACTCTGAGAAGTAAGTGGGTTTGTGATGCAGAGCTGTGAGACTCCAGTAAACTGTGCCTCTTATTAGCTGGCATCTTGGAGAAAACCTGGAAGAGATTATAAATAGCAAGCACTTCAGCTACTTGAGTCTCTGGTTTCTTTTCTATTAGTGCCCCTTAGTGGCTGAGTCACAGAATGGCCTTTTGGGGTAAAATTAAATCTGGAGAGATAGCAGAGGAGGATGGGTGAACTCACTTAGTGGCTTCTTTGATGGCAATCATAATGCCACCTTGGGTAGCAGCTCTGAACTGGCACTGAGGATGGAGAGAGGGCACAGTTTTGTCCAATCCTGCGAATCCTTCCAGGCTGGCAATTGCCTTCTTCCTTTCCAGCTTCCCCAGGATCCATAATAAGATCTCTTGGCAAAATGACCTGGCATAAAAAGCAGCTATGAAAGAGCTTGTCATCTTACACTATGCATCTAACAAGCTAACATAAAAAAGGAAAGAAAGACTGTCAGGTTCCACTGTATTCTAAATGCTGGCACAATCACCTAGTACTACTGAAATGCAGGAAAGTCTGCATCTTATGAATTCCAGAATGCAAATGTCCTGAAATTCAATGAATGACTGACTAAACCTTGGCTCTAGGAACAGCCCTGATATGCCACATGAGCTCCATGTGAGTGTGTGAAGTGTGTGTCTGTGTGTGTGTGTGTATGTGTGCCTGTTGGGGGTGGGGGCGCGGAATTTTAAGTGTACTATGGCCTTTGGATCAGGTGCTGTGAATGAAAACTTACATTGATAAAAACCATCCACTCGCAATAGGTCCTTCAGCTGGTAGGCCAAGAAACACCATACTAACAAAATATTGTTGATTCCGCCAGGTGCTGGTGGCTCAGGCCTATAATCGTAGCTACTCAGGAGGCAGAGATCAGGAGGATACTGGTTCAAAGCCAGCTGGGGCAAATAGTTTGCAAGACCCTATCTCAAAAATACCCAACACAAAAAAGGACTGGCTGAGGGGCTCAAGTAGTAGAGAGCCTGCCTAGCAAGCGTGAGACCCTTGAGTCCAAACCCCAGTGGCACCAAAATAAATAAGTAAGTAAATAAATAAATAAATATATATATATACACCTGATTTCTCATCTCCTTTTTATCTCTGCCAATCAACTTGGAGAGGAATGGAATAAATGTTCAGATTGTTCTTAGTCTTTGATGAGGACGTATAGTGCTATGAGGATTTGGGTTTTAAAACTAAAACAAGTTATTATATGGACAATCCCTCTGAAGTCAAATTCACACACTTGGAGCCTCCATGTCCTACTGCATTCTTTCTTGTCACTATGGCTGTAGGCTACAAGGATGTGCTAACTAAATGCCGAAAAGCCAAAGGCAGTATGTGAGCTCTAAATAACATGCAGGACTGACAGGACTGAGTATCTCCTTCACCATTTAGCAACCAAACTAAGGAGTGCCACCATTTGTGCTGACTTTTTCATGGGACTGGGCTAGACACACCTAATGAACATTTAGTGTCATAGTTACCCTGTGGAGACACACTGTCATTGCACATGAAATCACACGTGGGAGACACCAAGATTGAGTTTTATCAGACTTTAGAAAGAATATAAATCGTACCAGGAGGAAGAAACAACTTATTTCCACAAATGATTGTGAAAACATAGCTAGCACAAATTGAGTCCTACTTCTGGATAACTGAGAAATTCCTTCTTTCTAAATAACACTGCATCACTAATCTCAAATCCCAGGCTAACTTACAATGTGCTACTTTCACATCCAGTTTTTAAACTTGTTTTCCAACTCTCCACAAGCTCATTGCAATCTATCCCCTATTTCCTCCTTCCTAGACATGTAATTGCAGCAATTTTCACTGATCAAACAGTAACTGTTTATACATGGAAACAGATTTTGCCTCTGATGTCTAGGACAGAGGCTAAGGAAAGTCAGTCTAAAAACTATATTCAATCCCTTTGATCTGCAAAATTCTTCTTATTCTAGAAAAGCTGTATAAGAGGATCCCCAAACACTTTCCTGACTTTGAAAGGAAATAACAAAGTAGTCTAAATGAAGACTTCACTATTTATAAACAAGTAAGATTCTATTTATAAGCAAACAAGGCTCTTGCATACCTTAGGTGAGACACACTCTGCTTGGTAAAACAGTAGAGAGAAAACAGCATTCTCAGGACTGGAATCAGGGAATCCAACAACACTGTGAGAGGTTCATTCCCCACCACGTACACCTACAGAAAAGACACGATGAGTTGTACCATGATGTACCATGGCTGCCAGGCCAGAGCAATGGGAATCAAACACCAGACACTTAGCAGGGCTTTGAGTATTATCTTAGTAACACTCTCTTCCTAAGGGACAAATGATATTTTAGCTCTAAGGGAGTGCTCAATGTAATGATGAAGCCATTTGAGAATGGCAGATAGGCTGAAAGGGGCTGAAGCAAGGACACCAAAGAACTGCCCAGCAAAATGGATAAATTAACTTGTTTTCTGATCTCTTCCTTTCTAATTTTGGCTCCTCCGAGTCTCCTGCCTATTATTTATCTGAACAATAATTGTTCTATTGCTGAAGGCCTGCTATTAAGAATTACCACCAAATAGAAAAAAATAAGAGTCTGATTTGAGGGGCTGGGTATTGTAGTTCAGTGGTAAAGTCTGTGCTTACCTGGGGTTCAATGCCCAGCACCAGAAAACAATAGCAAAATAAAAAACCAAAAAAAACCCAGCCTAGATTTGAAATGAAACATATTTCACTCTAGATTCATCTCTCTTAAGATGTAACTGCCATGTAGGCAGGTCCTATTCTCTCCAGCGCAAGAAAGGTTCAAAGAAAATGCCCTAGCTTTCCACAGTTAAATGTGTGAGAATGCTGAATTTTATAAGCAATAATTATGCTACATATTTTAGTTGTACCTTTCAAAAGGCTAGCACAAATGCATTCAATTCAACAAACTTTTACTGAGCACCCACTGGGTTCAAAGCACTGTCCCAGGTACTGTAGTGAATATAAAAACGAATAAGCCTCATTATCTCTTGGATTGCTTGTAATGTAGCAGGAAGAATAAAACCAGTAAATCAATTATAATAATTTAAGGCAGATAATTTGAAGTGTCTAAAAGAAGTGCAAAATGTTATTCAAAACTCCAATCAAACACAATAGGATTTCAAATTTTAATTCTGTTTATATTAAATTAATTAAAATCTGGTAGTGTGGCCAAGAATAATGATGATAAAAGGAGAAAGAAGAACTGACAATGACTATGTTCTCTGTATATGTTCCAGGGACTATGGTAGTTTATTTCATTTTATTTATTTTTTTCTTATTTTTCAGGTACTATGCGAGATTCTTTAAAGAGTTAGCTCATTAAAATTACAACAATCTTCCAAAGTCAATTTTAGCAACCCTATTTAAAGACAAGGAAAGGGAAGCTCAAAAATACCCTTATTTATAGAAAGAGTCCTATGGTAGCAACTGATGCTGTTTATGGAGAACAAAAGGTCATGGAGGCACTGGTACAGGCTGCAAAAATCTCTGTGCTTTCCAGCAAATCCTGTCCCTTTAAATCAACCCTAATTTTTCACGCTCCTTAAGCCTCCTGACTCCTCTGTGGAGCCTGATAACCAAAGAGCCAGCTTCCTGTGCATGATCTAATCTCCATAAGCCCAACTAAATGAAGTGCCTTGTAAGGCAGTGTTCAGATGTAATATGCAAGCCTAATTATGGTATCACCAATTACAGGAGGTAAAAGAAGAGATTCCCCCAGATAACGTAAGGGCCTATTGTTTGGCTTGGATCCTGTGTTCTCTGAGGTAATCCCTGTGGAGCCATCCTTCTTTACCAGCATATTTTGCTTAAAAAAACAAAAAACAGGCAGATGAATCTCCACTGTTTACAGGTTTGGCAGGGCTGAAGCACCTAAACATGAACTCAATCAAGCACAGTTCTTGAAAGCCCATGCTGTTGTTGATAAATTCCTCCAAGTTTTTATTTTCCTCTTTCAAACTTTTCCAAATTTTCTAATAGAAAACTTTTATTTTACACTTATGAAAAAAATGCAAATGTTATACACACATAATATTTGTTTATTTGAATTTTTAAATTTTTTTTGGCAACATTGGTTTGAACTCAGGGCCTCACACTTGCTAGGCAGGTGCTCTACCACTTGAGCCACTAAACCAGCCCCATACTATTTATTTTTATGTAAAGATCATCAAATATCTACTGAGTGCCAGTGGTATCCAAGGCATACTGGCAAGTACTGTGGAAACAGTGCTGAGCAAAGTCTCTGCTTAAAAGGAGCTGACATTCTAGTGGAGAATAGAGACAATAAATAATCACTTGATAACAACAGATAGAGACAAGTGCTGTAAAAAAAAAATAAGGTCAGGTATGGTGTTACATACTTATAATCCCAGCACTGAGGCTAAGGTAGGAAGATCATGAGTTCAAGATCAGTCTAGACTACACATCGAGACCCTGTTTCAGAATACCCCAAATGAGCCAGGTGCTGGTAGCTCACACACATAATCCCTAGTTACTCAGAAGGCAGAGATTAGGAGAATAACATTTTGAGGCCAGGCAGGGCAAACACAAAAAAGGGCTGGTTGAGTGGTTCAAGGTGTAGGCCCAGTACCCAAAGAATAAAATAAATAAAAACAGGTTAAAGGGATAGTGATGAGGGGAAAAGCAGGTACGAAGAGAAAAAGAACAATTGAGAATAGCCCTCTGCCTGGCAAGAGTGAGTTCAGACACCAGTACTACCAAAAAAAGAGAAAGAATATTCTTTATCATTCCTATCAATTAACCAATTATTAGCTCTCAATACATTTCTGAGGCTGGCCTTTAATTTACAATGCTCCTGCCTCAGGCTGGGATTACAGGCATGCATCAACACACCCAACTTGTTATTACTTTTACCTCCTCTGTGCTTAGTGATATTTTCGTTGCTTCCATCTTTAACCCATGCTATCTTTATCCCAGTTGTCCCATCCTCATAATCAATCAATCCCATTTTATCAGGCTGTTCCTAACCCTCACCCTACAACTTCTGCAAGGCAGAGCTAAAGCCCCCAAGTGGCACCATGAACAGCAGCTTACATAACCTCCTCCCCTTCCTCCTACTGAGAGGCTTCTTATATTCTTCAGTAGGCCTCCAGGGCCATGACTTGGCCAGCCCTCTCTAAGGACAGCCTCTTCTTTCCAATTTCTTGCACACAGCTGAACTCACAAGCAGATTAAAAGTTACTCTGCACCTGGCATCCAACATTACTCTCTATTTCCACTCCCAAGTGGAGTCCAGTTACTTTATGTGGATACTCTTGATCTGGGTTTAGTAACCTACTCAGGGACATGGGTGGCTAGACTGATTAGTCAATGCTGTACCATGATCTCTTGGTGCCAGCACTGACTGACCAAATACCCTAGAAAGGAAAAAGTAGTAATCCTTCCTATGAAGTCATGCAACATATGAGAGAAAATGCTGGGGTTAATTCTTTCCAATCTCCCCCACATTAGGCTGATGACTTACTGACTAAAGAAACAGTGAAGGCACTGAAGAACTGAAGGACAGACTTCGGGAAGTCCCAAAAGGGCGATAAGTGGTCAAGGAGACACTTCTCCTCCCTAAGAAATGCCTGTTTGCATTTGAAAGGCATCTCTACCCTCAGGCAATACAAACTAGGCTATAAAACCCACTCCCCACCCTGACCCACGGAATTCTCTGCAAATAAAATCTTTCCGACCTCTGCTGTTGGAGTCTGCCTGTGCTTTCATTCTCAGAGCAGGCTCAAGAACCCTGAGCATCTGAAATTCCTGCGCGTGTCATCCCTGCATCATATTTGGCGACCACGAAGGCACCAGCTTTCACCTGAGGTCGGTATAGGTTGTGCCAAACTGGGAGACTGCCTAGGAATGTGACCGTGAGCGTCCGGCACTCCAATGGAGTCTGTTTTCCAGGAGAGACCCCCCACCACGGCCTAGCTACGGTGGAACTCTCAGGTCGACCTTTTCTCCCTCTCTCTCTGTCTTGTTATGGAGGGTTTCTTCCTTGGGAAACTGAGGAAAAGGTCCGAGCCCACTACAGCTGTACGGCAGGCAATCTGAGGAAACTCAGAGGCTGGGCAGGGGTTTGTACTGCACTGCCAATGCTACGTGGGCGGAACTCAACTTCAGTGCACCGAGGCTTTTTCTTTTTTTTTCCTCTCCTTAAACGCTAACACTCTCTTTCAAGATCTGACCAGCTTAAGGGGAGGTCCGAAAACAGCTGGTGGAAAGGAAAGTTTGTCTTCAAGCCACAAAAGGTGTTCTGGCCGGGGCACTCCCCGGTGTCACCCAAAGGCTGGAGATGCAACTTCCTTACCCGCCCTGAGGCCCCAAAGGCAGCTAAGTCTTGGACTTCTCCAGCCATGTCCGTGGCAAACAGACAATCAGATCTCTCATGCTTTCTTCATGGTTTCCGTGGCCTGAGGGTGGAGGTCACCTCTTGCTTCCAGTGCTCCAGTACTGCCTTTGGGCAGGATCGACCTGGACAGCAGGGATGATCAATAATCCCTCATGTGTTGAGCCTGGAAACTCTCTTTTTCCCCAACCCTCAGCCTCTCCTTCCCCTTTCCCAGGCAGTTCAGGATGAGTGTCCCCCTCCCCGCCTTTGCTGTAAATAGCAGTGAGCTTCTTTCTTCAGGGAGTTTGGGAAAATTCCTACAGGCATCAGAAAGTGCTAGTCTCCAATTTAGGCTTAACTGTCTTTGTCAAGCATCAGATTAACTGGTTAAACAGGTTCCGCAGCCTGCCCTCAGGGAAAGGAAAAAAAAAAAACAGTTAAAAGGCAAAAACCTCAGGTCTCCGTTTTTTGCCCCTTGTCAGAGCAAAAGCCTCCAGATGCTCTCTCTCCTTTCATAGAAAGCATATATGCCTCACAGGATATATAGGGGAACAAAAGTCTACTTCATCAAGAGTCCCCATCCATGCCTCTAAAGGGGTCCTCCTTCTGGCCATGCAAGCCCTCTTGGTTACTTTGATAGAGTTATTTTTAATTACAAGCATTCAGCTGGTAGAGGAGAACTAGGCCTACTTGGGTCGCAGGGCAAACAGGCAAGTCAAAATAGATGAGAGATTGGTCAAAGATCATCTCAGGGGGGTGGGTGCAACTGAGATATCTATCTGTAAATCCTCCACAACTCTACCCACGAGTGGCAGTGGAAGGAGCAAGGGAGAGCGGGACGCCCTCTCCCACTAGAGTTTCTCCTCATCTGGGGATGCTTAGATAAAAGGAGAAACCTCTGTTAAGGTGACCAATTTTCCCTTGTTTCCCTTTTTAGATGGGAAATCAGGCCTCAAGGATCCAGGAAGGATCCCCCCTTGCCTACTTATTAACTCAAGTTTTACTACACCCAGGCTTGGCCACAGTATCCTCTGGGAGATGAGGAAAGATGGCCAGAAGGAGGGAGCATTAATTATAATACCATTCTTCATTAGATATGTTCTGTAAAAAGGAGGGAAAATGGACCGAAGTTCCATACATTCAATTGTTCTTTTTCCTAAGAGACCACCCAGAATGGCTAAACAAATGCAGGCTAGATACCCAGACCATGGTAACCTTTTGCAAAAAGCCCCCAAACTCCCTTGAGCAAAAAAACCCATCTAATGCTTCATCAGCTCCCCCTCTTCCCCCTGACCCAGCCACCTCACACGCTAGACGCTGTCCCACAGGACTCTACCCCTCCAGTTAATTCCCGGAGGGGACACAGCTCATGTTCCTTTGAGTGAGTGAACTTAAAGAAATAAAAAAGGATTTAGGAAATTACACAGAAAATCCAGATCAATACATCCAGGCAAAACTTTGAACTGAGCAGGAAAGATGTAATGCTATTGCTATCTCAGACCCTCACTTCTCTGGAGAAACAGCAGGTTCTAGATCAGGCAGTCACAGCTGGAGACAATTATCACTTAGATAAAAGTGGCCCTACAGGCCTGTCTCCTACTGGGCCCTCACAGGAGGAGGAGGGGGAGGGAGAAGAAAGACAAAGACATTGGATACCTAGAAGGGAGCCTCAATTCCCAATTCCAACAGGAGATCAGGCAGTGCCTAGGTATGACCCTAAGTGGGACCCTGAAAATGACAAGGATGAATGGAGTCGTAATCATTTCATCCACTGCATTCTTGAGGGACTAAGGAGAGCCAAGGTAAAACCTCTTAATTACTCCCAAGTCACAGCTGTACAGCAAGGACCCTTAGAAACTCCAGTAGCTTTCCTACAGAGACTTAAGGATGCTTTACAAAAGCATACCAACATTATACCAGAGTCACAGGAAGAGGAAATCGTCCTAAAAGATAAATTCCTAACACAGTCAGCACCAGATATCCGTAAAAAGCTTCAGAAATTGGTGGCTGAAGGGAGCAGAGATCTGGAACAATTGGTCCATGTAGCCACATCTGTATACGATAACAGGGACTTAGAAAAAGAAAGGAAGGACCTGGAAAGGGAAAAGAGAAAGGATAAGCGGGAGGAGGCTCAGATCGCAGCGCTCCGAGAGGCTCCCCCAGGGCAAAGTCCAAACCCGAGGACATGCTTTCAATGTGGACAGGCAGGCCATTTAGGAGGGTACCTCTGGGACCCTGCCCCATTTGTCGGGGAAAACATTGGAAGGCACACTGTCCCCGGTTCCCAGGGGAAATGAGGTCAGAGCCTCCCACCCAATGATGGGTCCCAGGGCCTCCCATACAGGCTTCTCTGACCACCATAAAAACAGGGGAGCCCCGGGTTTTACTCACAATTGAAAAGCACAAGGTCAGCCTCCTTATCGATACTGGAGCCAGCATCTCAGCTATTCCTTTCTCTCCCGGGCCCAGGTCCTCCAAGAAAATTACTGTTTGAGGCATATCAGGCCAACCTCTAGAACATTATTTCACTCAGCCTTTAGCATGCTCCTGGGGAGAGTTCCATTTCTGTCACTCCTTTTTAATTGTCCCAGAAACCCCTACTCCTCTGCTAGGGCGAGACCTTCTATCCAAATTGGGGGTACAGCTACTTTTACCTTCAGGAGAGTACTTTTGCTTGCCCCTAATAGAGGAACAAGTAGACCCCACGGTGTGGACGGATGGACACACTGTGGGACAGGCACGAACAGCTGCCCCAGTCCTAATTCATCTCAAGGACCCATCCTGGTTTCCCCATCAAAAACAATATATTTTAAAGCCAGAGTTAAGGAGGGGCTAATTCCCATAATCAAAGACTTAAAGAGACAGGGACTGCTAATAGAATGTTCCAGCCCATACAATACTCCTGTTCTTGGTGTTAGGAAGGGACCTAACAAATGGAGGCTAGTCCAGGATCTCCGCCTGATCAATGAAGCAGTAGTGCCTCTCCATCCTGTAGTTCCAAATCCCTATACACTTTTAGCCCAAATACCTCTGGGTACTACTTACTACTCTGTCCTGGATTTAAAAGATGCCTTCTTTTGCATTCCCTTACACCCTAAAAGTCAACCTATCTTTGCCTTTGAGGACCCCACAAGGAAGTCTGGACAGGTCACTTGGACTGTCCTCCCCCAGGGATTCAGAGGCAGCCCCCACCTCTTTGGGTTAGCACTAACCCAAGACTTGGCAATACCCACAAGCTGCTCTGCTACAATATGTAGATGACCTCCTGCTCTGTGGACCAAATGAGCCTGTCATTTCACGTGCCACTGAGTCCTTACTAAACTTCTTAGCAGATAGAGGTTATAAGATCTCTAGAGAAAAAGCCCAATTGTGTCAGTCTAGGGTTACATATTTAGGTCTTGTCCTGGAGAAAGAAATGAGGTCTCTAGGAGAAGACACAGTCCGTCCAATCCTGACATTTCCTCTACCTAAAACTCTAAAACAATTGAGGGCCTTTTTGGGTGTCACTGGATACTGTAGAATTTGGATCCTGGGATATGCAGATCTAGCCAGGCCCTTATATCAAATCCTTAAGGAAACACAGAAGGATACCCAGCCCTTTATTAAATGGGATGACAAGTCAGAAAATGCATTCCACAAGTTAAAGAAGGCTCTTATGATAGCTCCTGCCCTGGGTCTCCCAGTACAAGACAAGTTTCAATTATATGTCTATGAAAAGGGAGGACTGGCCTTGGGCGTGGTGAGTCAGCTCTGGGGCATCACTCCCCAGCCAGTAGGTTACTTAAGCAAAGAGTTAGATCAGGTAGCCAAGGGATGGCCAGGATGCCTCAGAGCAATGGCCACAGTAAGCTTTCTAGTGCTTGAAGCTCAGAAACTTATCCGAAACCACACCCCCTAACGGTTTATACCCCACACGACCTAGGGGGAATTTTAAACTCAAAAGGAGAACTTTGGCTATCTGACAGCCGTCTACTTAAATATCAGGCCCAGCTTCTGGGAGGAACAGAAATAACTTTAAGAATCTGTCAGAGCCTAAATCCTGCATCCCTTTTACCAGAGGCAGAGGGAAATCCTAAACACTCGTGTGAGAAAGTACACGACTTAACTGATCAGCCCTTAAAAAACCCAGATCTAGAATTACACACTGATGGCAGTTCCTTTGTCAAGAATGGTGTCAGACATGCAGGGTTTGCAGTTGTGACAGAATTTGGCATCCTCAAATCAGGTCCTCTTCCTCCTAATACAAGTGCTCAATTGGCAAAATTAGTGGCCCTAACAGAAGCCCTAAGACTGTCAAAAGAACAGAGTCAACATCTATACCTTCCTGATCCTGCATGCTCATGCAGCCATTTGGGAAAAAAAGAGAAATGCTAACTACAACAGAAACAGCTTCCCATAGGGATAAAAGGGAGGTTACTTTAATAGTTTTAGGGATAACAGCATTAGTTGCAGCCCTTGCTGGAATCAGCTATGGGGTGATTGCCAATCATGTAACTGCAAAAAACCTAACCAAAGTGGTAGAGGACACCTCAGACCAGGTAGGCCTTGCCATTAAGGACATGCAAAGGTCTTTGTCGTCTCTTGCCTGTATGGTAATGGACCACCGCCTGGCCCTAGATTTTCTTTTGGCCAAACAAGGGGGGTATGTGCCATTGCCAATACCTCCTGTTGCACATATATAAACACTTCAGGCATTGTAGAGGAACGTGCAGATTACATTCTCCAACAGGCTAAATGGCTCCGGGAGCAATCTCTTGAAACTCAGGTTTCTACTCAGGTATGGGAACAAATAAAATCCTGGCTCCCCTCCAGGACTTGGTTCCTACCCTTTCTGGGGCCTATAGTTGCCATTATTCTCTTGCTTGTGTTTGGGCCTTGCATTTTAAACTTACTTGTCAAGTTTGTTTCTTCTCGCCTAGAATCCATCAAACTACAAATGCCTCTGGTGGAGATGAAAACAACCTACTACTGCGGTCCCCTTGACAACCCCTCTCATGGTCAGCCCTGATGCTGTGGGCCCCTTCATCGCCCCCTGTCAGCAGGAAGCAGTTACTGAACAGACTTCATCGTCCCAATCCCTAACAGCAGTTAGGGCTACCATTGAGAGGGGG